TATATATATATATGTAGGTATATATATATATATATATATATATATACTGATTTTAATTTATGTTCCTTATGTAGGTATATATCTCTCTCTACATATACATACACAGGTATATGTTCTGCATGTAGGCATATATGTACTTACATGCAGAACATATATTAAATTCCATAAGCTATACTAAACACTGGGGACACAATACTGCAAAGGACAGACAAATTTCCTGCCCTCACAGAGTCTAATAGGAGTAATATAAGGATAATCACAGAGAGTGTCCTTTCAGCTCTTTGAAGGCAGTAATAGCCAAGCAAATGATAGTATTGCAGACAGATGGAATGGAAGAAAATATTCAAGGGTCCAGAGAAAAGAAACTATGGTGAACTAATAATAGTTCATGATGGCTGAATATGTGAGTTGGGGGCCAGAGACACAAAGAGAGGTAGGTCTTGATGGATTTTGTATTACATTTTTATGAAAATAGGAAACCACTAACCACTAAAGAGGAATGTCACTAAGAAGAGGACATAATCATATTTATATTTTAGAAACAAACTCATTTCAGTGGAAAATTTAGTTGAGTGCAAAAAAAGGAGAATAGCCAGTTGTGATTCATTGTGACATAGCCAAAAAATGATGGGAAATCATACCAGAGCATTGGTAATGGGATGCAAGGAGAAGGAAGATACTTGGGAGAACAATGACTAGGACACTCTGAGGACATATGGGGTTATGGGAATGGAAGGCAGTAATGTGTACTGCATAGGTAGAGAGACTGTTCTTTGCATGGACTCAAGCAAGCCACAGAGTGGGCCCTCAAAGATGATAGTCAGGTTTGTGGCTTGAGTTACTGAGTAGATGGTCATCCTGTTCACTGAATTAGGGAGAACAGGAGAAGATATGGCATTAGGTGGGAAGAAGATAATGAGTTCAGATCTTGACATACTGATTTCAAGTTACCTATGCAATATCATAGGTAGTGGGATATATGAGTCTATAGCTCATAGAATTTTTCTTTGCATTAGCTTTGGATTTGGCAATTTCCACATGTAGATAATGATGAAAGATATAGGAATATATGGGCATTTTCTAGGATAATTTATAGAGTGAGAAAAGTAGGGGACCAGGACACCCAATTTAAGACACGAAAAGCAAGACTAAGAAAAGATTCTGCTACTGACGTAGGGGGAAGCTCCATGTAGGGTGATGTCATCAATAAAGGGGAAAAGAGGTTTTTTTTGTTGTTGTGTTTTGTTTTTATAAAGGAAGGATTAGATAATTTTGTCAACTACTGCAAAGAAGTGAACTACAATAAAAATTAAAACTTAATCATGGAATTTTGCAGTGAGATCATTATTAATGAATCTAGTAATGGTTTAATCTCTTGTGGAAACTGGTGAGGTTGGGAGACAGAATGTGATGGGTTGAGGAGAGAATCAGAGGTGAAAAAAGAGACATGGAGTGTAGAGTATGCGTTGGAGCCTTTAGTGTATAAAGTAGAGGAGAGTAAGAATGACAATAAGTTAGAGGGTTATGAATTGACGAAGGATTTTGTTTTAAGAAGGGTAGGACTTGAACATCTTCAGATGCTGATGGGAAAGATTATGCTGCTGAGATGGGAGGATCAAAGATGATTCATTTCCAAAGAGAAAAAAAACAGGGTTTTAGAGAACTGATGGAAAAATCCTTTTGAGGTTAGAGATCATAAAATCATAATGGCACTAAGCCAATGAATCTTGCACCTTCATGGCAGCCTGAATGTAAACTTCCAAAGCAACTATCATGAACATAACTTGAAATCAGGTCTTAATATATTGTTTTAAAATTATCTACTTACGTCTCCATTTCCACAAGAGAGAAGATGGTGGGTCTTAAGTATTGCAGTGCTCTCACAACTAAGGCAGCACCCCAGGCTCATAGTAAGCACCTATAAAGTTTATATTGAATCAATTAAAAGTTATTTCCATCCTCTTGCTTTCCAGACTCATTAAGTGCTTTTTTTCTTGGTTAAATATTCAAAATTCCTCTGACTTCTTCAGATATAATTTTATTCTGAGTCTCCTCATGTTCCTACTAATACTCTGCTGCATAAGCTTGATTTTATGTCTTTAACATACAGTGCCCACAAATGAAGATAAACTTCAGCTATAGCTGAAAAGAGTCTAATCTGAAAGTTATAGATTTGAGAATCGTCTTTTTGTCAATTAAGAAAAGAATAGCAATCTTCAGAAATCGTGATTATAGTTCAACTATGTTACTCTGAGGCACAAAGACAGTTATCAATTTCTTCCACTGAAATAAGATGGTGAGCCCTTGTCCATTGAGAGAGGAACAACCATCTTAATAAATGCTTAGTCTAGATATATATCTTTTCCTAAAGTTTAGCAAGCATCTCTACTTCTCCTCCCCCTGTTTGTTGATATTGGCTTATAGATAGAAAGCAATTCTAATATTATAATAACAAAAAACGAAAAAGCCAGCCCTACCAACATTTTGATTTTAGCCTGCTGAGAGCTGTATCAGAGTGCTGACCTTAAGAACTGCAAGATAGGCTGGATGCAGTGCCTCACGCCTTTAATCCAGCACTTTGGGAGGCTGAGGCGGACACATCACAAGGTCAGGAGTTCGGGATTAGCCTGACCAACATGGTGAAACACTGTCTTTTCTAAAAATACAAAAATTAGCTGGGTATGGTGGCACTTGCCTAGCTACTCAGGAGGCTGAGCTGAGATCGTGCCACTGCACTGCAGCCTGGGAGACAGAGCAAGACTGTGTCGCAAAACAAACAAACAAACAAAAACCAACAACAAAAAAACAACAACAGCAAAACAGCAAGATAATAAAGTTGTGTAGTGTTAGCCATCTGGTTTGTAGTAATTTATTATAGCAGAGTTAGGAAACGAATGAAGGGAACTAGAGGTTGAAGTTCTAAACTGGGACAGAATTAAGGATGAAGTACTAAAACTCCTTAATTGAGATGATCAATCCACACTTCCCAGAATATTAAATGGGTAAACTAAAACAGCTACTTCAACATTAACATTCGCATATCCACTTTTCCCCTATTGAATTATTGACTTGACTTTGTAGCTCATAGCAAATGGTCAGCACGTGAATTATCAGCAGGTTCATGTATACTCTGAAGTGAAAATACAAGCTCAGGAAGAATGGCAGCTGACCTGCTTACAAACTACAGGTCACTACATAGCAATATAGTTAAATTTAGCTGCCCCACAAAATGTTGCAACTTAGTGTCAATTTGTTAAGGTCAATTTCTTTATTGATAACATATGGATGGTAATATTTATTTAGCAGTTACACTATGCCACAAACTGCAGTGAAGAATTTTTCATTTTTTATTTCATTTTACAACATTAATACATAAGAGGTTTTACAGATTAAATTTAAGTAAACTGGTCCCTGTCACAGTGGTTGGAAAATCTGACCTTGAGGTCCATGTTCCTTAATGAAAGCTGAAGAAAGCTAGTTTGTCAGCCTCAAGTTTCTTCTCTTAATCTTTAAAATAATCGGGTCAGCTCCACTACTGCTTTTGCATATCTGTGTTTCTGCATAGAAATCACTGAAACTTGAGTTTTGCTCTCCTTTGCTTTGCAGAACATGACCTATTCTAAGAGAAAGTGTTCTTTTTGAAGTTTTGCTGTGGACATTGAATTAAAAGGGAAGATGCAGAACAAATGGTACTGTGTCCTAGATTCTATCAAAAGAGACTACCTTCAAGAGTTTAAATTTCGGCAGCAAAACGTTGCTTTAGGTTTACTATGGCATGTGAGAATTTATCTATATGGCATATATTTTTAAATTAACATATAAAATAATTTGTTGGATTCACTTGAACTCAAGTCCACAGGCACATAGATAGGGCATAGCTTTATACATCTGTCATGGTAGAGTAAATGTCAAATATTAGACCATTGGCAAACCACTCAATTTAATTTTTGACTCACCAATTTAAAGCTAGGTAAAAAGAATAGACTTCCTGGTGGGTCAAACTGTGCTGAATATTTTAGTTTTTACTGAAGAGTTAAAGGTGATGAAGTTGAAGAGACTAAAGAATTGAACTCTTGATTTGTCCTTGCTGTTGCTTTGTACTGAAGGCACAAAACCATCTGACATAGCTAGAAAATGTACATCGTATGACTTGGTTGAAAAATTAAAATTAAACTGTTTTATTTTAAGTGCTTGTGAAAATAATTAGATTTGAGAAAAATCATTATTTGGATGTTTCTCTATTACACTATAATTTTGTCAAAACCTGGTACCCAAAGCTCCTCTCTGAAACTACGAATGCTTGAGTTTTCCTTCCCAAGAGCAGTCTACTTGTCATACTAATTTCTGAATAAATCTTTCTCACTGTCTAC